GAGAGCGGGCCGCTCCCCGGCCATCTCGCCCAGCGGAGCCCAGCCCAGCGGACGCGGTTCGCCCACATGGAGGGCCCCCGCCCCGTAACTATAATTTGCCTCAGTACCTTGTGGTCTAGAAGACAATTACCCCACAGATGTGCGGTTGGAGCAAGGCATTCAGATGGCGGGTCAGAGCCTGGGCCTTGGCGGAAGGCAGATGTGGGAGGCAGCCTTCAAATGGAAAAGAAGGGAGGGAGAAGGGGAGGGGGAGGGGAAACGGGAGAGGGAGATGGAGGGAAGAGGGGAGGGTGAGAGAGAGAGAGAGAGAGAGAGAGATGAGACTGCACAGAGAGAGACAGAGACAAGGAGAGAAAGAAATAGAAACAGAGAGAGTTGGCGGGGGGAACAGAGAGAGGAAGGAGCGAGAGACAGAGATATACAGAGAGAAACAGAAAAAAAGACTATGAGAAACAGCAAAACAGAGAGAAAGAGAGGGAGAATGGGAGAGAGAGGGAAGGAGGGAGAAGGAGGAGAGACATACATCGAAAGAGAGAGACAGAGACATGCACACAGAGATAAAGACACACACGGACGGACAGAGGCAAGCGGAGACAGCGAGACAAATTGAGACAGAGACACACAGAGAGACAGAACGAGAAAGGCCAGGAGACCCAGTTATACTCCATCCAATGGGGCAGGGTGTGGGGCTTCTGGGTCATATCCCCTACACCCACAACCGAGAAGCCTGATTTATCAGCCACATTTTCCACTCGAGAAAACTGAGACCCCCTCAGAGCCAGCCCCAATGCCCAAACCCCCAGCAGCAGCTGAGCTGGACCAGGGTTTGGCTCTCTGTGAGAGGCTCCCAGCTCCTCCCCCACTTCCCATCCCCCAACACCAAGGGCAGAGGGCTCAGGTCCACCCTGTGCCTCAGTTTCCCCAGCTGCAAAGTGAGGAGGCTAGATGAGAAAGCCTCTTTCAACCTCCTGTCACTCACAGATCACCCTCCGTACCGCGTCCATGTCCAAGTATTACTGAACATTTTTCTTTCAATCAAATCTTTTGTATAAAAAGACAGATGCGTTTAAAGAGAAAAATAGAACCCACCGCGGCCGGCTGCCACAAGTCAAGGTCTGTCAGCTGCAAAGACAAATGCTATAAGAACCTCCCCAATCTGATCCCAAACTACCCAGAGATCCAGCCTGAAGCCCGCTCGGTGTAAAAGATACTTAAGAATTGGAGAGGTGTCCCAGACAGGTTAAGAGCACTCAGAAGCTGTGGGACAAGATCAGATGATCTAACACATGTATAATTGGAATCTCAGAAGGTGAAGAAAGAGCAGAGAGCAGAAGAATATTTCGAGAGAGAAAGACCAATACGTTTCCCAAATTAAAGACATCAAATCGCAGATCCAAGAAGCCCGGAAAATACCACACAGAACAAATATGCCCCCAAACACATACCCAGACATATCATATTCGAAATACGGAAAATTAAAGAGAAGGAGAACACTCTTGAAAGCAGCCGAGGGCGGTGGGGGCGGGGGACGGAGACCTCGCATAGAGAGAGGAGCAAGGACAAGAATAACGGCAGACCTCTCACTGAAACTGCGCAAGCGAGGAGACGATGGGCTGACATCTTTTAAGTGCTGGTAAGAAAGTCTCTGACTCTGGAATTTCATACCTAGTGGAAATGTCATTTGAAAATGATGGAGAAACAAAGGCTTTCTCAGCCAACAAAAACTGAGAAAAACACATGATTAGCAAGATACCCACTTTAAATATAAAGACAGATACATTTTTTTTTTTAAATGGGAAGGGAGCGGAATGTCCCAGGAAAACACTAATTTAAAAAATGCTGGAGTGGACACATTAAAACCAGACAAAGCAGACATCATAGCAAGGGACGTATAATGATAAAGGGGTCAATTTGTCAACCCTGAATGAATATGTATCCATCCACATACACTCCAGCAACATGAAATCAAAATACACAAAGCCAACACCGAGAGAGATAAAAGGAGGAACTTGCAAACCTACAGTTACACCTGGAGACTCTAACACTATTCTCTCAGCGACCGATGGGAAAAATAGAAATAGACAGGATACAGACCTGAATGACACCGTTGACCAACTTGGAATGACGTTTCTAGAACACTCCGCCCTGCATCAGTAGAGTATACACCCTTTTCAAGTTAACATGGAACGTTACCAAGACGCACTGTATTCTTTAATCATATTCCCTGAGATAGGCCATAAAAGGAACCTTAGTAAATTTAAGAAAATCCAATCATCCAAGCTAATGGTCTCTGACTCTAACGAAGTTAAATGAGGTATCGATCACAAAAAGATATGTGAAAAACCTCTCCAAATATTTGGAAATTAAACAACATGCTTCTTAATAACCCAGATCAAAGAAGAAAGCTTTAGGAAACCTAAGGAAATACTTCTAATACGATTAAAATGAAAATGCAACATATCGAACTTTGTGAGATGCAGCTAAAACAGAGCTTAGGAGAAAAATTATAGCCTTTAATATTATTCATATTATATATCATATAAATGCATATAGTATAGCATTTAATATTA